GGCTGAGGGTCCAGAGCATCCTGACCTACCAACCTAGCCCTTTTGGCATTCTTCAAAGGAAAGTGCTTTCCAGAATCCAATTACTAAGGCAGTTCAGGGGTCCTTTCATAATGACAATTCTTGAGTCAAGAGGGAACCAGGGCCGGGCTCGGTGGCTCAGCCTGCAATCCCAGCACTTTGGGATGCCGAGGTGAGTAGATTGCCTGAGCCTGCGGGTTCAAGACCAGCCCGGGCAATTTGGTGAGACCTTGTCTCTACGATAAATCAAAAAATAATTAGCCAGGTGTGGTAGTGTGCACCTGTAGTTCTGGCTACTTAGAAGGCTGAGGCGGAAGGATCTCCAGAGTCCAGTAGGTCAATGCTGGGGTGGCCGTGAGTGTGCCACAGCACTCCTGCCTAGGTGATGGAGTGAGACTCCAACTCAGAAAAAAAAAAAAAAAAAGGAACCAGAGCTGAGCCCCACAAGGGCTTAGAGCCTACTCCTCCCACCTTTCTTACTTTGAAGGCAATTTTATGTATAGCAAAGACCATGTGTACTCCACAAGTCTTTTAGAGAATAACTTTTCTTCCTTCCCCCCAATAAAATCACCAGCATCAATAAGAGAAGCAAAGTCACTAGAAACTGAAGGGACTTAACCTCTCAGAGAATAGATGGCAAATGTGTGTGCTGGTGTTCTTTCTACATCCAGTCTATCATCCCAAAGTGAAATACTTATCAACAATTTATCAATGGAAAATTCTTGAACACCAGCAATGTGCTAATTCCTGTAAAAAGTTTTAACTACATGTAAGAGTTTTAAATTTAAACTTTAAAAAGTTTTAAGAGTTTAAGTTAAGAGCTTTACAAGACACACATGAAATAGTAGCAGCTACTCACGTGTAACAAGCTACGAGTGTGTATTGAAATGTCTGCCAGTGCAACAGTCCCGCACCTGATAACAGCAGAACCTTGGTGCCTCCACCTACATCAAGTTAGCCCCTGTGACTTCTGCCAGTTCCTAGTGCTGACATGATAGTCAGTGGCCATCCCCCAGGGCCATCCTCCTTATTTGCCTTCTCCAGCCCTACTCCTGTTTCCCCTCATCAATGCCAGCTACCCCCAAGGTAGTATGGAGAAGGCTACCCACTGCCAACGCCATCGTAAAGATGACAGGGTATTTGCCAAGGGTGAGGTCTTGGGGTGTTCTTAAAGCTCTCCATCTTGTATGGCAAAAGGGGTGTTATTTCCTTGCAGAAGCAGCAAGAATGTTCTCTCCAACTCTTCCTTTTCACCTGGGTCCCAAATCAGCCTGTTTGAGGACTCATCTCTCCAAATATTTTATTCCCACTCAATTTCAGTGGCCCTAGCTTCCCTCTCCCTGCCCATATTGAACTTCCAAAATCATTCCAATGAGTCAAACAAGGAACCCTTCTCCTTCATCTTCTCTCTCCCAGCCCCCATGACCTATCAGTTATTTTCTCTACATTGTTATGGGAATAAAAATCTCTTTGTCTTTCAGTGATTGCACACAGAAAGTGTGTGTGTGTGTGTGTGTGTGTGTGTGTGTGTGTGTGTGTGTGTGTGTGTGTCTGTGTATGCACCTGTGCACACACATGCCACCACACACACATACATACTCAAACAGTATTTTCACCAAGTTTTTAGCAGCTCAAAGGAGTCAGAGGGCAAGTCAGGGAAGGTTTCACAGTATAAGGAGGATCTCATGTACCTTATACAATGGCAAGGATTCATTATGCGTCAAAGTGAAGGTGCAAAGAAAGGATACGCACAGCAAAAGGACCAACAAAATTAAGGCACAGAAGTATTCCTATGTAGGGCTTGTCTTGTGGAACATTGAGAATAGTTGGAAATGGACAGCTGTTATAGTAAAGGGAAGTCATGAAAGGTGATGGTGGACAGGTGGGGCAAGCTGACCTTGGAAGATGAATGGCTGAGAATACATTCACTATGATAGATCTCGAGGGTGCTCTCAAGAGATGTTTGAGCAGAGTCATGGCGGGATGACTTGCGAGGGAGCTGGATCTAGCAAAGGAGTATGTGAGGAGGACTGAATGAGGGAAGGGCACTTACATGTGCAGTCAAGGAGGAAAGAGTCTGAGAGAGAATAATGCACAGACCAGACAGAAGTGTGAGGCATTCCAGGTGAATAAGGGAGCTATCTCCCTGTGATGTTGCCACTTGACTGGAGTTTTCCTTGATTGTGAACTATAGACTAAAGGAAACTTCTGTTTCTAAATGAGTTTAGACCAGTTTTATACCCTTTCTGCACCTCACTCTGCCCCTTAATGTGTTTTGTTTTGTTTTGTTTTTTTCCCTAACCACGCATCACCTGTTTCCTCAAGAAATCTCTCCAAGGTCTGCCTCCAGAACCCCCAGTCTTGTCTATCTGTCCTCTGTTGCAACCTCTTTGCTGTGAATCTTGGTTTTGCTGTCTGCATATCCCCTTGGACTTGACAACCCTGCCTTCTCTTGTTGCCTGGTCTGCCACCCTTGGGGTAATGATGGTAGGGACCTTTTGCCCTTCACCAGAGCATTCCTGTGTCCAGTCCTGCCTCCCCAGACTCTGCCTCTGCTATTCTATCATAATTATTTTATGTATTCAAGATTTAAGCATGATATACCAAGAATGTAAGCCACTCTTCATAGCACAAGACGATGTCTGATTTCTTAAGTGTGTTATCTTTTTGTTGCAGAACTGTGGTGAGCATCCTTAATCTTTACCACCAAAAGGGCACTTTGAGTCCTAGGTGGTCATGTGTCCTCACTCCTAGTGTGAAACCCAAGGAATTTCATGGACTCAGTGTCAACCTCCAAAAAGCTGCAATATCATGCATTTCAACTTGGAACTGCCTGGGCAGCAGTTCAAAAATTGTTTAGGATATGGAGCTAGGGCTGATTCCTGACTGACATGGAGAGTGGATATAATAATCAAGAGACAAATGGTTCCAAGAAGCACAACTTTCCTCTGCACGTGACACAAGGGCCTCTGGTGGAAAATGAAGAAGGATCCCAGTAGATTTTAGGTCTGAACAAAGGGCCATCCCCTCAACTGGAGGATGCGAATCTTTTAATATTGTGTGGGTAGTTCTGCTTTGAACGCATCTCTGGAGGCACCTGTACCATTTAAAACCTCCTGGTGCAGGACCAGACTTCCTGGAGTATGTTCCAGTACATGTTCATCTTCCCTGATCCCAGCTGGAAACAGCTACAGAAGAGTCTTTCACTTTGAAGTATGGCTGTCCCCCTGCCGGGTGGAGAATGGCTCTGGGAGAGAGGAGACAGTTAGCTGGCAGGACAGATTGTAACTTTATAAACATATGGAGGGCATTCATTTGGAAGGAGCCATTCAAGTCAGGGATGTGAATTATACAGGAAGGTGGACAAATCTCAGATTGCAGACGTGTGTTCACTTAGTTCTATATTTTTAGAGAAAGTTGGTGTATTAGTTTTCTAGGGCTGCCATAACAACATACCGCAGTCTGGGTGACTTAAACAAAATGAGGAGAAATTTATTTGCTCACAGTTGTGATTCTGGAAGTCCAACATCAGGGCACTGGCAGGGTTGGTTTCCTCTGCAGCCTCTCTTCCTGGCTTGCAGATGACTGTCATCTCCCTTCACACAGTCTTCTCTCTGTGTACACACATCCCTAATGTCTCTCTGTGTCCAAATTTCCTCTTCTCATAAAAAATACCAGTTATATTGTACTAGTCCCCATCCTATCAGCTTTATTTCAATTTTATTATCTCTTTAAAGGCCCTACCTCCAAGTACAGTCAATTATAAGACACCAGGGTTAGGGCTTCAGCATATGAATTTTTAGAGGGACACAAGTCAGCATATAACAGGTGGCCTAAGATAATCTTTGTCTGAACACTAATAACCCTCATAGCCAACATTTATTGAGTGTCACTATGGGCTAGAGATAGTTCTAAGCATTTTTCATATATATTATTCACAATTATAGATTACACAGGTTAGAACCAATTATAGATTATACCATCTTTTCTGAAAAGTAGCAAACTTATTTTGGTGTAATTACATGACTGTAGTGAACACTGTGCCTCAGTCCCTAACCTTGGATCCCTGTGATTTAATGTTACTTGGAATAAGGGGAGACTCTTACCATCATGCTTTGATTGGTAGATGATCTCTGGAAAATAACAAGGTTTTCATTCTCAATCCTGAGTCAAGAGATGAGATAGTGTGAATGGGAGAACCCAACAACCTCTTTCAGAGGGCCTTGCCCTGACCACCGCATCCACATATCGGCGATTCTGCCTTCATCCCTTGGCAAGCTGAATCATCACAATTAGATCTGCAAAATGTACCAGCACATCTTGGACAGCCCCTCAGCAAACTGATGAGCATTTCTTATAAGCTAGACCCCTGTACCGCATCTTATTGAACCTATCAATTCTATGCTAAAGCTATTCTTATTCCTGTTTCCAGATAAGCGAACTGAAATTGACCCAGTCACAACCTGGCCTCCACCCTTCCCTTGTGTGACCTTGGGCTAGATCCTTCACCTCTCTGGTTGGGTCTCAATGGCCTCACCTGTAAAATAAACACTGGGTCTCATTTCCCCCTTGTAGCATGACTACTCCATTCAGCTAGTAAGAGGCATTTTTGCTTATGCCTGAAAGAGTCTGGTATTCACACTCCACCACCACACCACACCCCGTGCTGTGCAACCACTGTTCTGGCCTTCCCATCCTCACTGTCCTTTTGGGGGGTTCCAATTCACAGTTCCATGGGTGCACTATATCCACTCCCCAGTCCAAACTCCTTCCTCACTCGGGTAACCAGCAAAACACCATCAGGTCTGCCTAAGGGTCAACCCACTCCCTGGAGTGCAAGTCAATCAAGCATGAGCTCAGCAGGGACTTCCAGACGAGCTGTCCTGGGTCAGCCCTGGGCCACCTTGCCAGCTCAAAGCAGAAGTGCCACTTGCCCCGGTGAGGAGTGACGCTAGGCTTTTGTCTCTTCTCTGGCCCTGCAGGAGGCTCTGTCGGTGGTAAGCGACGACCAGTCCCTCTTTGACTCAGCGTACGGAGCGGCGGCCCACCTCCCCAAGGCCGACATGACCGCTTCGGGGAGTCCTGACTACGGGCAGCCCCACAAAATCAATCCCCTCCCACCGCAGCAGGAATGGCTCAATCAACCGGTGAGGGTCAACGTCAAGCGGGAGTATGACCACATGAACGGATCCAGGTAAGCCCTCCAGGCGTGTGCAGGGCTGGGGGAAGCCTTAAGGCATGCTCAGCCCTAGGCATCTGAATGACAGACCTGCCCCAAGGGGCTCTGGCATTTTAGACGTTTGCAGCAGATGGGAATCTGGTGCAAGGCAGGGAGCCTATGTCAGTCCCTCGAAAACTGAGGCAAGAGAGGGCTACAGAACTGAAGGCTGGGGATGAAGTAGAGCCAGGAAGCCCACCTGACTCTCTAAGACTCAGGCAATCCCCAGAGGCCAGGTGAGAGTCAAGCCCCAAGACCCTGTGCAGTCAGTCACTCATGGAATACCTATTTTGTGTTAGGCCTAGGCCTCGGTATAGCCCTCTTGGGTATAACTTAGCAATAAACTATCCTTCCCTGTCTTCTTGAAGATACTTAACCTCTCCAGAAGGGTCTCAGCAGAAAAAAGACAACCAAACCTATCTTTAGTAAAAGTGGAAGAGTGATAAGAAAGGTGGACCCTTCTGAGGGCTCACTGGACCAGTGAGGAAGCACACATCTCGAGAGTATTCCTTGTGAAAGAGGCACAGTCCAGGAAGGTACAGACTTTGTATGTAGAAATGGAGAGAAAAGAGTTCAAAAAGAGAAAACCACAGGGTCAAGGAAGAGCACGGCCTCATGGACAGGTAGCCTGGGTTTCAGGTCCTGCCTCTAGCCCTTGGGCAAGTCCTCTAATGCCCTCTGAGCACCAGCTTCCTCCTTTCTAAAACAGGGCTGGGTGTTCACTTCTTCATACACTTGTTACTCTAGTGTTACTCTGATACTGCAGGGAGAGGTCCCAGGAAGGTGCCTGGATTTGTTAGGAAAGTCTCAGTAAGTGACAGTGATCATTATGAGCAAAAATTTAAAAGAGAGAGAATATCAGTCTCATTCACAAAATAAGCCAGTGGACCTAAGGCACAAGGAAATAAAAATAAAAAGTACACCGCAGTGGCTATAAGTGTGCCACTGCACTCTAGCCTAGGTGAGAATGAGACTCCAACTCAAAATAAAATAAAATAAAAAGTACAAGAGGGCTCTGAACAGCAGGTTAAAAACACATACCATTTATACCAAAGGTAGAGACTTTAAGCACAGACAGAGCATTTAACATCATCAGAGCTGTGATTTGAGACTAGTGAGCTGATCGTCATTTTTCATAAAGGGTGGGGATGAGAGAGCCAAAAAGCTAAATCAAGAAGTTAGTGGAAGCCGGGCTCGGTGGCTCAGCCTGTAATCCCAGTGCTTTGGGAGGCTGTGGTGACTCGCCTGGGCAACTTGGCGAGACCTCATCTCTACAATAAAATCAAAAATTAGCCAGGTGTGGTAGCACACACCTGTAGTTCCAGCTACTTGGAAGGCT